GTTCCGTCAAGTTCCGTCGAGTTCCGTCGAGTTCCGTCGAGTTCCGTACGGATACGGAACTCAATTTGTTCCGCGGACCTCCGTGTCCGCACGGAACCTGCACGGATTCCGCACGGACGCGGAACCCCGCGGAACAGAGGGAGCTATGACATTTACCCGTAAACAATGGACTGTTGTTATTTTGAGATGAAGTTAGCGCTGTTTTGATCATTAGCTTGTGAACGCAATATGAACGCAGAACAATCGATCTCATACGTTTTTGTCTTTATCACAAGGTTTGTGTTCAAATGAGCAAGGACTCATCCGGATAATTTTTTAAGTTTTGAGAACTTTTCTACATCGTTCAGTTCGATCAAAATTCACTCAATTTCAAATTTGATCAAATTTATAGATTTTTGGAATTACTCAATTTGATCCTTACAATAGAACTGACAATTGATGTATCAAAAAAATTGAATGTCATCTGTCACTGGGAAATGTGGGCATGTATTCTTTGTTCCATTGCATCGAATAATGCAAAATGATTTACTTACGGGTTTGTTGAGGAGCTCGGTCTGTCCATTTTCCGACATTGTTTTATTTTAATTTTTCCACGAAGCTCTGCACGTATCTATTCTAAATTTGTCTGGTCCGCAAAAAATGGCTGAAAAATTAAATAAAAAAATGTTTTGTTCGCAACTATTTATTCCGCGTCAGAAGCTATGGCCATATCCATATACGTTTGTTGTTGCTGTCATTTGTACACACATTTCAGTATGTCAAATGTTCGGAGACGTGTGATTTGAAACGAACGAAATTCTAGAACAAATCACTACTTCAAAATAAATTGCAAATGATGAAATGGAAGTAATCAAAAATCTCTCAAAAATTCCATGAAATGTACAGAAAAAGATAATTCACTCAATTGCATGCACTCAACCGCTTTTGAACAGAATTTTTCTATTGATTCGATAATATTTTTGTACAGAAAAAACGCGCTTTTTCATCTTCTGTGGCGAAAATTAGTTTGAATTTCTTTGAATAACTTCTTCCAATTAATTAATTGCGCATTTTACAGTAATTAGCCGTGTGCTATCACAGAATTTTCCGTTCATTGCAATGTTGCTCCTCTTCCAAAAATTGACTGCAAATAAATGATACAAACGCCGAGTATTTTATTGTGAACTTGATTTTTTATTGATTTTTTTTTTCTTTTAAATAATATAAATGTTCATGAATCATGATGTTTGTCTGTGTCCGTTTTGGAGGAAAAAAATGAACAGTAAAAAATCTGGTCGATTGAAGCAGCTCAAGTATGACAGTGGATGAAGTAGCGCGTTTGAGTGAATCCACATTAAAAATGAACATCTCTGTTTTTCTTTTCGTTTTTTTTGTCAGAGTTAATCTGAACGAGAAATTAATGATCGCAAATGACCCAATAAACGGATTGATTCATATTGGTTTTTTTTTCTTTTCGTGTATTCGTAATAATGTTGATAATAATTAAAAAAAGAACAAAAAAATGTCTATTAATAAATTTGAATTTGGACATGCGATAGCTCATATCTGTGTGTATGTGTGTGTGTGCTTTCTGTTTGTTTTGTTGCTATTCCTGGTTTGATGCCGGTCTTTCTCTTATAACATTTTGTTTTTTGTTTTCCGTATTTTTTCTTCTTCTTCTTTGAATGCATAGATAATTACTAGCTGTTTATTCTAGTTTGATGATGAATCTTAATGTGTTTTGACTCTTATTATAACTTTGTTTTTATTTTCTTCTTACTAGAAAAACAAATCGAAATGGTTTCTCTTTTTTTTGTTGAGGTTGTTGTTACCGATTAAATAAGAAAAGTATTACAAAATACGGGCAGGTCACAGAAAACCAGTAATGAGACGATTCAAGTGGGACCACTTGATGGTCGTGCTCACACTGGGCTTTCTCTCATCACCTTCTGCTTGTATGTAGTGTTTTTACCTTGTCCCCTAATGTTTTTTTATTCTATTATATTAAAAATCAAAATTTGATGACATTTTCACATTCAAATACCACATTGTGTCCACTCTGTCGATATGCAATCCATATGAACTCTGCGATCAAAGTGTTTTTTTTTCTTCTTCTTGTTTTTGTTTCTTTGAATGTTAGTATAAATCTTAAAAAAATACTACGGCGCCTATTTTTTCTTGCATTTTTCAACTTCTTCATATCTTTTTATTTGTTCTTTCATTTTTAGAATTACGCAATTATTTTCATCTGTTTTGGATGTTTCGTGTTGTCATTTTTCTCTCTTCTTTTGCTTGGCTATTGCAGCTGATTTTGCGCTCCCATTGAATTTTATCGTTTAGCTAATGGTGTTGGGCATAATGGAATATTTAGTTTTTGTTTTGCATTTAACCAACGAGAGAAACAAAAAAGTTGTTTTGTTTCAGTGAGAAAAATGCCAATAATGTTCTGGTCATTTCGGTTTTGCTTATGAAATTAAAAACTATTTCGTTTCAATTTCATTCGAGCTTTTGATTTTGAGCTTAAATCTTGAAAACAATTGAGTTTGTGTTCATTGAAAGGGTGGGGGATGCTATCGATTGTTCGCATTGATGAGGTTCGATGCTAGCCATTTTCTAAAAAAAAATCTCCAGAAATGCATTACATTTCATTGGCTGATGTGCACGATCCAACGTGGATTGTAATGGTGCTGGGGAGAGAGAGAGAGGGCGATACACATGTCACGGCGCGACGACATGGAAAATACAAGTAGCTAGTAAGCACTCAGCTGACGACACAAATGCACTTGAAATACATATTGAGTTCATGTTTGGAAACACGGTGAATGAAGCCGTTGAAACGATCTTGATTTTAGACGATTTTTTGAATAGTAAATCATTTGTTTCTTGACACACACACAACCGACAGCGAAAGATACAGAGAAATTAACGATAAAACAAATGCTGCATTTTGCATGAAAAAAATAAAAAAATAAAATGGAAAACAGAAGAAAAAGGAAAACCTAACAGTACGTTTGTGTGTTTATGTGTGTTTTTTTCTCGACCAGGCAACTTTTGATTCCGTTACAATTAAATTTAATTCTCTCTTTTCATATTATTTCCACAGCTGGCCTCTTTTCGACCCATTTTTTCTTCAACTTATACACTTAATGTTTTTTCTCTTGATTTTTAGTTATTCCTTACTTAAATTATTACAGACGTTTTGCTGTTCACTTTGAATTTTTGTATGTGTGTGTTTTGTTATTTGTTTGCTTCGTGTTAATATTTTGTTGTTGTTTTGATAGTTTATGTATATGGGTGTAGGGATTTTTCAATCTTTTCATCATCTTTTTTTTTGCTTGTTGTTGCTGTTGTTGTAGTTTACGGATTTTTCTTCTTTAAAGTTATAATTGTTAAACTGTGTGTGTGTGTATCATTGTGGTGTTGTGAAAAGAATGGGATACGATCGTTATTTTATCTTCGCAATGAATTAACCATCGTTGTCATCTGCTTCGCCTTCATGCTTTCTTTTGGTTCCCCGAGCTGGTGATTCTTCTGTGTGTGTGCGTGTGAATGAAATAAGACATGAATTAGAATTTTTACTCAAGAGATTGAATGAATAATTGTGGTGGCAGTCAAATATTTGAGAAGTGTCCCTTTGAACAGCCTCAACGAATTGAATTGGCTTTAGAGGGGCAACTATAGCGACCACTAAGTGCTGCCATACCTTCATCTTCGCCCTCTTCTTCTTCGGCCAAATCAGAATCTCCATCTGTGTCACCTTCATTCTCGTCAGCTTCGAAATCATCGTCATTGTCGTCGTTTTCGAGGTCGTCGTTGTAAACGTCGGCCAATCCTTAAAAGAAAGAAAAAAAAATTGTGTTCAGTTCGTCTCTTGAATTTTGTTCAGGTTTTACCTGCATCGACGTATCGATTCATTCTTTCGAAATAACCTAAACCTAGAACTAATTGAAATTTTTTTTCTTCATTCAACGAGTTTTTCAAACATAAAAATTCGTTTGACCAATTTTAGCTTAAAAATTTTCACTCTATAAATTGAAAGAAACAAAAAACATAGTTTTAATCGGTTGACAAATGGCGTGAATAAGAACAGCACTTACCACCATTTTCTTCGCTTTCATCGTCATCTTCGAAGTCCCCGCCGTCATCATCGTCTTCAGCTTCTGCAAACAAAAGAAAACGAGAATATATTTAGTACATTTGTTCAACCAAAAAATGAATTATATCTTCTCTGAAGCTTTGATCAATAAATCGAATTTTTCATACGCGCACATAGCCATTTATTCATATTTTTTTTCACATAATTTGCATGTCCGGTCGTTTTGATTGGATAAAACTTACCATTGCCATCTTTTGTGACTGAAATTTCAGCAAACAAGTAGATAAAAGAAAGAAATGAACAGAAAAAAAAGAATCAAATTGGTTAAAAGTGTCGAGTGTTGTGTGTGTGTGTTTTCTTTGATTTCTAATGTGCATTCTTACAACGGACGGAATTCACGAATGCTAAGATGGTCAATAGGCCAAACAGCAACAGTGGAAATGATGTTGTTTGTGTCGGAATTTGTGCAGTGGTCGTGGTCATTGTGTTTGTTGCATCGTTGTGATTGTCAGTGGATCGACTAGATTGGCATTGATTTGGCATGGAATGATTTTGTGATCCACTTGGATTATGGAAATCATTTAATCTTTGTTGTTGTTGTTGTTGTTGATTGTTCGTTGATGACGATGTTGTTTGGTCTTTGGTTTTGAGATCGAGCGCCAATCGATCTAAATATTCATCGATTTCGTCAATCGTTCGTTCGTCTGTCTTATTGTCGGCGACAGCCGTTGTGTGTTTGTCATCATCGGCGGCGGCCGTTGACGATGCATTCATCGCAGCCAATCGTCGCTTTTCGGCTAATTTCTTTTCGTATAATTCTAGTTCAGTTAAATCGATTTCCATGCCATTTATACAAAACGGCTTCGAATAGTCTGGAAAATTTCGATTTCATTGTTCAATCTTCAGAGAAATTTTTTTTTATTCGTTTGTTATTTGGTTTGTGTTGCTTTTTGGTTAGATCGAAATGGATTTTGATAGAGATAGTGATGAGAGAGATAGAGACACAGAGGCAATGAAAGTGTGGAATTATTTCTGGCGCACTTGCCTGAAGTGCCGGCAAACCCGAATGCCACAGTTGTGGATTTGTGAATGGATTGTGTGAGTGTGAATGTGTGCGATTGTGCAGTAATTTAGACAATTGATTGTTTTGCCTTACCTTCGACACCATCTTCATCCGAATCATTTCCGTTGACCTCTTCATCGTCTTCGCCATCGGAAACGGCTTCAACGTCATTTACATCGAAGCCATCTAAATATACAAGCGATGGAATCATGGCGAATATTTTCTGTCGATATGAATCGATTGATGTTGCTTCATTGTTGAACAAATCTAGCACTTCGAGCTCCTTGAAGTTTTCCAACGATTTCAATTCTTCCAGGTCTTTGATTTTATTTCCCGATAAATTTAAATGTGTTAGTTTTGTGCTAGCACTTAAATTATTTAAACCGTTCGAAATTCTGTAGAGGGAAAGACACAGAGAAAAAAGTACATTGAATGGACATTTTATTTAGCTGGTACTTTAAAAAAAAAATGTATACACCATATATGCCACCATTGGATCAAGGTGTACTTACCTGTTGTCGGACAATTCCAATTTTTTCAAATTTGGTAATTTGGGGAAACCTTTTAGTGACGTCAAACCGACATTGATCAAACTCAGTGATTCTAATGCTGTGAATTCGTCTGTAAGACCAACGATATTTGTACTTCGACAGTTATCTAAATTCAGCTCGGTTATCTGCAAAAGAAGGAATCGAACATAATTCGCGTTAATAAATTTAATCAGCACCATTTCAAAAAAAAAGGATACAAATTTTGAATAAATAAAAATCAGTATAGAAATTTTAAAACAGTGTGACATTGGTATTCGAACCGAAAATTTGGTTCAACCAAAAAAAGACCAGAAAAAGATGTTTTTTTCTCTCTCAGAACCCTGACAAAAAACCCCCATAAATAGCAACATACATTCATTCATTGGGCAATGGTTTCAAAAATGCAGATGCATTGCATATATATGGGAAATGATTTTTCATCAATCCGAAGCGCTATCACATTTCATCGATGTCCGTTGCATTTTTGTGCATACCATCTCTTGTAAACCGATTGCAAGCACACGAACATAAACAAAAGTCAACGACGAGCGAAACAAAAAAAAAACGCTATGGACCAATACATGGCCAACGGTTCAGTTGTTTACAGTGTGTTTATCGGTTTTACTTTTCACGGTCTATATATTTGAGTGTATGCATGTGAATTATACGCACGTAACGCAACACAAACACCATGACAAGCGGTCTTCTACGGTTGCCGTTCAGAAAGAAAATTATGGCGCAAAAACCGACTAACTCACAAAGCTACCGTTAAATCAACACACTTTGACTTCGGGCCGCAAATGTGGTAACACCAATCATACGTTTGAAACCAAGAGTATTTTTCAACGGTAAACAATACGCTCTCTCTCTCATATACAAACACAAGCCCATCTCATCGTGGATGAGCCTATCAGTAGCCAAAGTCAATTGGCTTGTTATTTACAATGTGTTATGATATGAATTCAAATAGCTCAAAATGTTGTCATTTTTTTCGTCACAACTCGGTAATCGAAAATCATTTGATGACTTCGATATTTTGCTCGCTGAAAGTAAGCATAAATAAAACATTTGCTGTACTAATGTAAATCCTCCAATCGGTGGGATCTGCAAAGCATGTTTCCGAAGCAAAAATGACTATAAAAAAATTGAATAGATTCATCGCAAAAATCATCGGCAATAAATAAATCAATCACGTTCGTGTTTGTGTAAGCAGAAAGGAAAGATGGGATCGAAACTGCGTTTGTATGCGACCATCCATGTGAATTTCTACCCAGTTTTGTGTGTTTTCGTTTTTCGTATTTTGGCCAATGTTACGGCACATGCATATATGTGTGTGGGTGTGAGTTGGTATTTCGCTGCGTCTGTGTGTTACAAATTTCATAGTCGTAAGCAAACACTATCAATAAGATCAAAAATTTTACGTTTTTTTTTTCATAGCATATGTATTTGTTGGTGTGACTACAGATATTCGTGTTTTGCTCTATGTGCAGGAATGATGAAAACTTGATAATATGACGTGAAATTTCATAGTGCATAGCACGAAAATGCATTTGTAACCGAATGACATTTTCATGTCAAGCGCACATTTCATTAAAATGTACGGGGATAAAATAATAAGCTTTTCGTAGTTAATCAAATTGACGTGAAATGCACATTTCGACTTGTTCGGAATTTGAAATGTGCATGAAGAGACGTGGTGCCAGCAGCCACGATGCTCCAACTTTGGTACGGCAAATCAACAATATCGTTATAATCTACGACAGTTTCTGTACCTCCGTCTCATTCTCACGCTCTCACCCTACATACGGCAGTGTTGGGAGCTCTCGCGTCTTACACGTACCCATTGACCGCGTACTGCTGTTACTGCTACTGTGGTGTCGAAAATTGGATTTATCGTTTTATGAAAATAATATAGTAGACTGGGATAGGAAAAGAGAGAAAGAGAGAGAGAGAGAAGGATGTTGAGTGAGAGCGAGCGACAAGTCCTTTCTAAATTTGACGCTTAACATTTTCAATATGTTGCATGAATGCTAAATAATCGGTTTTATAGTGTGTTGTGTGCATTCACTAGAGAGAAATTATTCTATAAACTTTTTTTGCGCTTCGAATTGACGCGGCGGGGCCGATGTGTGCCGAACAGTTTTCGTTATTAGATAAGCTTCATTCGTGGACGAAAAAAAGTGGTCGTTTTGGGCCCGACGAATAGCCGACAACGTATATTCTGAATGGTTTGTCAACCGACTTTTTTTTATCATTGATTTCAGCGCCACGATTTAATGAAGCTCTTTTCCGTACCTCTGATTTTGGAATGTGGCGAGAAAAAAAAATTGCTTGTCATATCACCCAAAAAAAAGAGAAGAGATCTCGTTTCAATTCAACTCGCTCTCTCATCCGAATATAATGTTGACATTTCCGAAATTGTTTCGCCCGATTCGCGATATGATAAAGCGAATGAATTGAGTTTAAATCAAAGTGCGAACAAAAAATATTAAATTGAACGGCAGAACGGTGCGCGATACATTTTGCCACTATGTACTGCATTCTGTGCAGATACACGTTTCATTGCCGCGCAATATTCCTATACACACCTAACAAAAAAAAAGCACACCAACCAACCCATATATGTATCTGTATGGTGTGTGAGTATGTTTTCGTTTACATTCTCCGTTATAAAGGCACAAAATGCAAGCTCCTTCTTCTTTTTTGCCCCGAGCCGCGCATTCGATTCTCTATCTCGTTATTGATATGATATGGTAGTGGTTGCTGCTTTTTCGCATTGAGTATGTGTGAATTTGATTTTTTCTGCTGTTGCTACGTTTATTAAGGGCATTACTTTTCATCGTGTCTGTCTTTTCTCTCGTTTGTTTATTTTGATTGTTTTAATGTGATTTTTATTGATTCAAGTTAGTACAAGACAAGAACTTGCGTGAACGATTCACATTCAATGAGATCGTTCTGACTTTGTTTGATCGACAGATCACAATTGGAATACATGACAAAAAGATTTCTCACATACATTGACCATTTTATAATGGATTTTTCCATTGGATCACCAAAAATCTCTTTGATCATCCGAAAATCGTCTCAAGCGTAGCAGATTTTAGAATCGAACGACAATTTGACAGCATTTTAAAATCAATGTCGTTCTTAATAACTATCGCATTGCTAATCAACAATGAATTCGATGATTTGTAGAGAAAATGTTTGTGTGAAATCAATGGCCACGTTGTTTTTTCTCCCTCCCTCTTCTTTCTACTCTCGCCTTCTCACATTGTCCAAACGAATCACACAAATCGGTATTAGTACTTGTGTTTCACGCAAAAAAAAAAGAACGTTTTGTATACGGAAACAAGTGAACAAGCGCAAGAAGAACGCAACAGCAGCAGTACAAAAAACACACACTCAGAATATTAGATGTACAGAGCAGACACACACCGCATCAGAACGGCAAGCGTGAGCACAATTGACGAGAGAAAGACAGACACAGAGAGAGGGAAAGAGCAAAAGACTTGAGTGAGTCTCTGTGGCACACACAGTAAAAATCATTGGGCAAAATGAAGTGTTTTGAGAACAACAACACACACCGAATACGCAACAATGCGATGACAGAATCAACACACGCACTAACATGAATCCGAGATGAAAACTAGACTTTGACGCGCGCAAACTTAAAAACGAGGCGAAGAGATAGAGAGAACGAAAGAGAAATGAAGATGAGAAAAAAAAATATGAATGCCGAACACAGAGCCTAGTTGAATTGCCGAAGAATTGCAGTGAGCCAATTTTGTCTTAATTTTTTGGGTGATATTCACTTTTGGTTGTGAATGCATTTTTTTTAGGCTGGCAAATCAATATCCCACGCCGGTTTGGGTTTTATTTATCTGTTTTAATCTGTCTTTTTTCGATTGCCATCATCTATAAGCATGACGGCCAAAGACTACTGTCATCAAGTGACGCACTAACATGTTTGCATGAAATCGTAACGAAAGAAGTAAAAAAGACAGCAACAGCAACAACGAAGATATGAGCGAGAGCATACAATTCGCATTAGACAGAGAGTGTGTGTTGTAACTTAATTTTTGTTGTTGTACCGCGCGCGCCGCCACTTTTTGTGCTATTGGCTCTCATCAGCAGCTTGCAGCGCTGAATGGAAACCGTCGATTATAGTTAATTTCCACATATTATTGTTGTGTTTTCTTCGGGTTTGTTCAGGGAAAAAACTGGAATGACGAATGGAAAACAGATTCAAAATAGCCAAACTGGATAATGTGAAGCATTGATATGAATATGTGTATGCATAATATTGAATCTTTTCAGGCAATTCCTATCCAAATATTTAGAGCTCATTTGACACACATACTAGTTCTTCTTCTTCGACTGCTACGAATCGAGGAGATTCGAATACACACACTCACACAAATACACACATACAGACTGTGCACCAATACTCACTCACTCACTCACCCATCATCATCATCATTGCCGTGTAATGTGCGTATGTGTGTATGGGAAATTTGCATTTGCAATGCGAACAAGAAACGTTCGAAAAATAACCGAACCGAACGAATGAAACGAAGAATATACATATATATGATTTTTTCATGTGTATGAAGAACGAAAAAAAAAATGTGTGTAACTTAATTTATTCACAGGTTAATCACAAAAACAACGGGCATGCAACGAAACATGAAAAATGTATCAAATGACCAGAGAAATGACGGATGAAAAAAGCGTGCCGCGCGCGCTCTTATACGGAGAGACATTATGCGACGAAATTTGGTTTGTTTTTTTTTTTCATTTCGTTTCGTTTCTTGTACAATTTCAGATTTCCCAACTCATTACGAAATGAGAACCGAGAAATATTTTGTTGTTGTTGTTGTCGTTGTTGTTGGTCAAAGAAGCCGACTGACTGACCGACAGAGAGACGGGAGAGCGAACCACAAACACTAAATGGCCAATGCCAACAACAGCAAGCGCTATTGAAATGATTTTAAACGCGAACAAAGTCACATTAAAACAAATGAAAAAAAACACCGAAAACAAAATTAAGTCCGAAAAACTTATGTTAAGCGAGGAATGAGAAAGAGACCACACAATACTGACCTGATTTGCTGGTCGACCGCGTTTTTCCAATTCTATTCTTTTCTCCATTTTTGTTGTGTTGTTGATGATGTTGATGGAACTCGGCGTTTTTTTTTTGTTCTTTCTTTTCGCTCTTTCTTTGATTATCGATGCTAAAACCCTGACGATTCTTTGATTCTCGCGCAAAAATTCGTATTGTTTGTTTATTTTCTCGTATGTGTGTCTTTGCCGTCGAATGTCGTTTTCTTTTTCGTTCAATGTTTTCAAAATGCGTTCAACTGCTCAGCGAAAAAACCAAAGCAAAAAAAAAAATACAATGTTCACAAAACGCATGCCAATACGTATAAGGAAAATGTTTTTTCTTCTTCTTCTTCTATTTTACACCGAACAATAAATTTGGTTGTTTGTAAAAAACGCCAAATTAAAACGTAAATAAAACGAAAATTTGAACTGAATCAAAATGCTAACTTATTAAACTGTCGCTTGATTCTTCTTTTCTTTCGCACTCTGTGTTTATTACTTTTGAATTTTTGTCGCAATCAAATTTTCTTCAATACCTGATTTCGTTTTACTTTATTTATTTGTACGCCGTTGTTTCCCTTCTGAGGGCCTGATGGCGATACGATTTTTCTTGTTTATAATTATTATGATTTATTTTTATTCGTGTGCTATAAGCACACAGCTAGCAACTTAATGCGTGCAAGTATTTAATCTGTCTAAAATACACGGTTTTTTTCACAGCACCAGCAGCTCGCTTCAAGCAAATGTGATTTCTCGGTAAAATCGTACAACAAAAAGAGAAAAAAAAACTTTTTCTCTTCGCTTAGTTTTTTTTTTTTGGTATATTTGAATATCGGTGTGTAATTGAAGAGAGGAAACTAAAACACTGTTCCGTTTGGAAAAAAAAGTTTGTCTTCATGCATACACCACTACGCACGCATTGATCAATGCTCTCACTCGTTTGTTGGCTGTTAAATGTGTGTATTCTTTTTCTGTAACCGAACACACAACACAAACACACTTTTCGGTATCAAAGTTATAAGGATCGAGAAAGTGGTGTGTATGTGTATATTTCTTTTTTAACTCTGTTAAACGTGTGTACGAGCGCGCACCAACAACCAAAGTCTCACTCACTTCAGAACCAAACAAGTATGAGAAACAACTACCAAGACATGAGAGAAGCGAAAACAGTCGAACGAGTGATATGGTACGGCACTATGTAATATATTCATACAAACGTATGTTCGCTTTCGCCTTTCTCTGTCGCTTGCGATGAATTATTTAGCCGGATATCTCGCTCTGTTCATACACTAGAGAAACAAAACGGCGTTTGACTGTACTATTGGCAGAGAACCGCGTTGGTAAAGTCATGGAGAGTGTGTCGTATGCCGAACACACGGTTTTCGTTCGCTCGCTTGCTTGCTTACTTTGGTCGCCTTTATATTGGTACGGCAACAGCACAGCAGCATTGAAATCGGAGTGAGTCTATCGCTAAAACGAAAAGAATCTCGAATACATGAAAAGTAAACACATACCAATGGACGCACGGAATTTTTGTTGTTGCTTCAAACCAATTGGCCGTATTCGTGTGAATGTTTGTTGGCAATCGTGTGTATCACTCTCTCACACACACACACACCAACACGCAACCATACAATGAACTAGATACTTGATACGCGTACACTCGCACTCTAAATAATATTAGGCTGTGAGAGAGTTTTCGGTCTTCTAATTCACTTGAACTTGAGGCACTCTACGCACACTATCTACCGATGCACACGCACACACTGACACTACGTTTGTTGATAGTGTTGCCCGATGAAAATGGCGCCAAAATTTATTGACGCGAACAAATCACCATAGTTGGCTGTGCCTGTGTGAGTTACATACACACATTTTTATCCCCCTTTTTTCATGCACATCGTAGGATAATCGTTTGTTTTCGTTCTTCTCACATCACAATCTCACTTTAAATAGGCGCTCGTTGATTCACACTTAAAGATGCAAATATATACTACTATGAAGCTAATTATAATTGAATATTTATTTCGCAAACACTCGATAATGATCGTTTATCGCAAACGCACTTTCATTTTTGCATTTTTGTTCGGATTTTGCGAACAACGTTAGCATTTTGTTGACAGATAATACAAACATTTAGAATAAAAACAAAATAAACCGTTTATGAACTGTATCATTTGCACCCGTCTGCGTTATGCACTTAAAATACAGGTTGCGACAAACGAATTCCCTCAGAATATTTTACTTTCAAAGTGTAACATAGAATTTTTTTAAAATAGAGTTTACAACAACAACTCCATATGCAAAAATATTTATGTTGCACTTTAAAACTAAAATATTCTGAAAGAATTTGTTTGTGGTTCATATTACAATATCACGTTGATCAATTGTCACATGTTTTACATGTATCAACATATATAACTCCGTTTTTTTTTCTCAATTGGTCGATTTGCGTCACATTTTCAAATACATTGCTTCAATTTTTAAATGTCTCGATAATTATCCACTTGTCACTAGTTGATTAAAAATTGATATATGTTGTATAAATGATTCTTTTTAATTTTTTCTGATTTTTTCATTAAAAAACCATTGGGAATCTTAGCGTTTTCTTCAAATCTTCGACAGTTTTGTCTATTTTTGGATTTTTTTTTTTGATACCTTAATCAAAATTCAAAATGAAATTGTGTCAATTTTCTTCTTCTTCAAATTTTGCGCAAACGCAAGCAACAACGAACGGTACATTTCGTATGTATGGTTTTTGCTGATAAATCGAGAGGCAGCATGTGTGTCTAGCTGGTTTATTTGCTGACTATTTTCTCCACTTCACGTTCAACGAAAAACTGAAACGACGTTCATCATCAGCATCATATAATATTTGTGCATTTGTTTTGTTCGCTCGAATCATTTGTTCGTTCTCTCTACTTCACTATATATCAAATGGTTTATTGGAATGCGTTAGTTGCGTCAAGTGGTTAGAAATTAATGATATAAAAACGAAAAGTCGATATGGCAAAACTCACAACAAAAACCAATGCAATCATTGAGCAGTGGCTAAAACACGTGGGATTATCATCGTTGTTGTTTGTGATGGTGTGCTACGTTCGAAATTCAGGACGTTCATTACGTCGTCGGTAGATTCGGTGCTATTTGAAATCATGGCATTGCATGAAAAATGCACGACAATGATATCAGACTCCAATGTGTGAATGTTTGATGGGAAAAAACGCGGTGATTCAAATTAGACTCTGGCCACTTGGCTTGAATGTTACATGGGAATAGCGCAATCGCAAAGTGTGGGGAAGAGCAAGGGAACAGTGTTCTCACTGGTTGCGGCCACATGTGAAAAAAAAGAAGGTAGAAGCAAATTATATCGTTGAACTAGATCAATCCGAATTGAGCACATAATATTCAGTTGATACGGTTTTATTTCGCATCTTCAATTCAGTGTGTAGCCAAAGTATCTCTTATAGCCATAACAATTTCCACACTCCAGCAAAGTCAATATTTTTCCATCTTTTGTCTGAAAATATATGTTCTTTAGAATGGATTTAATTCGCGCTCGCTTGACACTGGTAAAATATTCAGTATCTTTTGCAATTGATGCGATGCAGAGAGAAGAATGCAGTCGAATATTTTACTGTTGACTTTACTCAGTTTAAGTTCGAATGTTGAATTCAATTTGTCTTGGAACATTTTGTTTTCTTCTCGAATTCTTGTGTGTGCACCACGGCAATGCCCAGGCAGTGTTTAATTATATCGCCGTCGAAGCACATGCACACATATCGATTTACAATCGCAACTGATTGATCCAATTGGAAAGAAATGTGTGCACGTCGTTTCAAACGACTCGTTTGTGCTGCTGTCTTTGAATAGAACAACTCAAACGAGAAATCGAAAAAGGAAAAAAAAAATTGGGCAACAAGTGCAATCAAGAAAATCCGCCAAGTGTGTTTTCAAGGGCAAAAATGTGCAAAAGACATGCTGCTGCTGCTGCTGCTGATTGCTTGATCAATCGAAGCTTTTGCCAGTGTAAACAAAAACAATCTAATTCGCGGTCAGAATGATGTTATGAGCAGAGAGAAGAAAAAATCCTTGCCGATGGATTCAATGTGAGAGACAGACCACAAACGCACACGCATTCTGTCGAATGCAAAAGGTTCTTCTCTCTATCTCTTACCGTGAGCCCTTCAACTTTTGAAAGATGAAACTTATCGGAGCCACGCGCTAGCGACACAACTGAGAGTACAAATGAAAAGGAGCGCTAGGAACAGAGATATATGCACAGAGAATAGAGAGAAAGAAATTAAATATACCATATTCAAATATACATGCTCCAGCAGAGCACAGCTCAGCATCAAAATGTATATATGGCTTGAGAGCGAAGCGAGCGAGCGAGCACGCTATTCACAGTGTCCATGCAAGAGCATCGATCCAAAACGGATAAAATACCGAGCGAGAAAAAACATATACAATATATACATTTTCATACATATGTATGACGCTGTGCTTTTTTACTCCCTCCGTACATAGGATTCGAGAGCACATTGAAAGCGATAGCGCGCACTGTTCCACAACATTTGCGTGCAAAATGCGAGTTTAGTGTAATATGAGGCATTGTAGACAACGGACGTTTATTTCTTTTTCGTTCGCCGTTCAGCTCAATTTACAGGCACTTTGTGTATCCTGCGATGTGTAGACGTTTTACGTATTGACAGGCAGCAAGCAGCAAGAAGCACCAGCAGCAGCATAAATTGAGCTCCTCTCGTGCGCTCCAAACACATAATACACTTCAAGTAGCTTTGATCAAACTGAAAGAGTTTGTCTTTTTTCATTTATTTGTGTGTGAAGAGACAGAGACAAAGAAAGAATCAAAAACAATTAACGGAAAAAAACGAGAAAATTTAGAACAAAAATACAGCGAAAAATCTGATTTGCGATACAGTTAAGGGGAAAGAATAAAAAAAAACACTACAGAGTAAGAAACGAGAAGAAAATTAACGAAAAACTAGAGCGCATTCCCGTTCGTTTTGTGAATGTTTCCGTTTTGTCCAAGTGACGTGAAAGTAAAGTGAAAAGAAAAAGCACAACCGAATTTCCAGACTAGACTTTTATATCGACGACAACGACGACAGGGTTTTAATACTTCCACATGGCCCCTGACAAACCAACCAAAAACCGTGCAAAAATACAAATATATGTGATTTTATTAGCAGTGACTTTTCGATAAATCTCATCGTGCGTGTTTCAATCGAAAATATTTTGGTGGCCCCGCGTGTATGTGCCCGTGTATGCTATGTGTGTGTGAAAACCTACTTGAAATTGATTAAGACGATGGAAAGCAATCAACAATCCATGAAACCACGTCTCAATTTGCGATACCTAACAACCGACATTTGGTAATAGACTAATTATACACTCAATTTTCTGAAATATTCATTACAAATATTGAAAGATTGTGCGTTTACAATTTTGAAATGTTCAGTACGTCGACTCAACTAGCTAGCAATAACAAAGAGGTTTTCTATTTCTTTACTTTGAACAAAGAGTGATTTCCTTGCACACGTGAGGTGTTCAAAGAAGTAATAACACGTTCCTAACCACTCGAAGTCTTTTATTCGTTTTAATCTTTCATCACTAAGCCATTCGTCAAATACTAAAGAAACTCAAATCGGAAAGCCGCGCTGCGTGTATATTGAATTTTATAGTTTGGTTAGATTTCTCATCCGTACACAAACTTTGTATCTCTCTCTACATTTTCACTCTCTCTACACTTCTTTGTATCTCTCACATTGAAAAGCCACTGTCCAAAGTTATTCGAGCCATAAAATTGATTAGAAAATGGTGGAAAAAGCGTGTATCATCAACTCATGAACAAACTTATCTCTCTTCAAGGATGTTCACTTCATTGAGCCATACGCAATTCAAGCAAATAGTGTATTCATGCGTTATCGCCGATAATGTTTGATGACTTTGATGATTTTACCGTTTTTGTCATAACAGAAAACGTACGGTACCTTTTTCCCGCTTCACCCATATAGTGCTCGAGACAGCGACCAATGGAGGGTGATCAGTGGGTGAAAGGAGAGAAGTATGACACCAATAAAATGAATGTTACGATCAGCATCTTCTAATTAGGTGCACATCTCATACATAGTCCTAGATGGCTAGATTTTATTTGTCGACAGTCTTTGTGAGGCAAGAAACTAGAGGAGGAGAGGAGCATAAAAGGTGAAGTGCATTATTACGTTAAAGCCAGTCATATGCCTATAACTTTTGAATGGGTCCGATTACAGTGAATTCAAACTACTTATAATACAGACACTCCAAAGACAAAGGGATGCCAATTGCTCAAAGTGTAAAATGTAAAATCAAAGGAAGAGAGCGAGTGAGCAAGAGTAGTGAAGAACTCGAAACGCCAACGTAAAAATCACACTTAGCTCTATCAACAGCAGTCTATTAACTAAATGTGAGCATAAAAAAAGAGACGAAAATTGCAGTGGCAAATGGATTTGTGTCGACGAATAGAAAATGAACGCACTCCTAGGAAATGTGAAGTGTTAACACATGAAAGATCATGCAAAATTCGAATCAATGAAGAAACCTGTTGTTGAACATGCAGTCAATTCATTGTGTCATTATTTAGCTCCCACCTGTATGAGTGATACCGTACACGATGCACGGCAATATCTGTTGCCTTTCCACGATAGTGAGAGAGAGAGAGCACCTCGCAATGTTTGCTCATCGACTTGAACCATAGAATCGTTTCACATTCACAACTACTAATAATATTTGAAGATGTTGAACGTGCAAAAAAATCGACATAAAATGGAATTTGGTCGGGTGTTGCATACATGTGGTGTGTGTGTGTGTGTGGCAAAGTCTAAACTTCCATTTTTCACCGGGAAAATTGTGTCGGTTTGAAACTATGACAAAAGTGTGGTGATACAAGCATGCAAACAGTAGCAGAACCATAATTCACTAAGAAACCTCGATGTTTTGTTTATTGGTCATGTTTACAGTGTCGTGCCAGTGAGTCTTGAGCACTGTGTATATCTCAAGATATAAGAAACACCTTAGTTTCTTTTCACATTCAAGTATTGTTATCGTTACCGCCTTTTTGTTATTGTGCCCAAATGAAAAAATCGATTTTTTTCCTTTGCAAACGCTGAAAATTTATTTTTGGTTCGCAAGCACCACCGTTTCTTTATTATTCACGGTTCAGATTTTCTAACTCGTACTTTTCGGTGATGTCTTCTTCTTGTTCTGTTTTTCGGTGCGTGCATGTATGATGGTAGCTTATTGTACGCTTGTACTACACGCACAACGCAGGAGATACTCGAAAAGATACTGAAAGAGAGAGATTTTTTTCATTCCATTCTTTTTCACTCTCTTTCTCTCTCTCACTCTGTCGCTCTTTTAATCGAATTACAAAATGACTCATTTTATGAATGCGCAAATTGTGTATATATATATATATATATATATATATGAAACAAGGACCGTTTCAAATGCTTTCCACTGTCTTAATCTTATGGCTCTGTATAGCACTTGATATAAAACCATTGACAGCAATCATGTTTTGCGATGTGCAAAAAGGGACCAGCTCTTTCAAAAAGCTGCAACAACATACTTTGCGATTGATTCCGATGCGAGGAACCGGAGGGAGGTTTGAGATACGGTCGATATAATATTTTTCTTTGTGGTAGAGAAATCTTCATTCACACGTAAGGAGTCTCCTTTTTTTCTCTAGTTCTTCTCTTTTGCTTTCACTTTCTCATCTCGTTATTGCCTCTCTATTGCCATATGTCTCTCTCCCTCTCTCGCCAATATTTGACTTTTGGCCAAACCATGGGCCAATCCGTCTCGATTCGTGCTCGTCTGCCAATATTGCAGCTTGTTTTATTGGCTTTTCAAATCACACCAATAATTATATTGGTCACATGCAGTGGATTATCCATCTTACATGGAAAAACCATATGCATTCGCATCACAAGACGAACGCAATCCAAACAGAAAATGAAAACACTGCCATAAGCCAAAAGTCGATTTCTTGTCATCTCGAAACATTAATAAATGTCAAATTCAAACCACCATCACTAAACTATTCTAAACTATTATGCTATCCAAGCAGTTGTGTAAATTGCGAACCCTCGCAATCATAATAATCCGCTTTTATTCAATCATTGACCCTCTCACAGCCACATTTCATCACATTTTTTGTTTTGTTACGAAAGTTTGATTGAAAAAGAAAAACCCAAGAAATGACTCGACAAAAATAACGAGCCAATAAGAGTTTCAACAATTTCATTTTGATCACAATCATTCTTCCTCTTCTTCTTCTGCTGCTGCTTTTTTCCTCCCCTCTATGCCAAATATTTAAAAATAAAAATAATTTTTTTTAAATAAATCCTTTCGTATTAATTAATTATTCCATTTTATCATGAACGACTCAAATTTTATGCAAATGGTAAAACTTGGCCATAGTTTATTTTGAAAAGTGCTTTAAACGTTGACACTTTTTCGAACCATAAACATTTTTGCAAAGTTCCTAATTTTACAGATGGGGTTCTGCTCTTTTTTTCTTCTGTGCATGTATTCAAACTATCCATGTGTATGTGCATTATATCAAATGAGAGTACTTGGTAAGAAATAATTTATGCAAGTCAGTAAGAGTTGAGTCCATCATGATCATTTTACTCTCTAACTCTCTTTCTCGGCCAGCATGAACAAAAACACACACATAATTTAGGCTATTCGAGATGGAAGAGTGAGCGAGCGTTTTATATACGTCAATTAATATGTATGTATTGATTGTTTGTGAAGACGATGGTGGTACAAAAGACGCAAAACAACGTCAAATCACATGAAAAAGTATTACCCGACAAAACAACATGGTTTTGTTCAACAATAATAAAACTTTTCAAATTGATTAGCTCAGAAGTATGTCAGATCCAGGATCTGATTCATTGTTTGAAGCTTCAAAAAGATGCGTTTTTAAATTGTAATAATATTTTTTTGGGTCGAAACAGCAATTTTTGACCAGTTCTTCTGTATAGAAATAAAACAAAAACTCTCCATCAGAATCTCATGTTTAATGCTCATCTAATGGCATTTGATTTGTTTTATGTGTTGAAAAGTGCCATAAAACATCGTAAAACTTCATAAAAATGGATCGATCGGTAATTCTATGGAGGTAATGCACCACAATTTCCTTTTTCCCGCCTCTGAACATTCTAGTTCAGTGCTAAAAAGGTTGCTTTTTTTCCGGTAATTTCATTATTTTGATTTGCAACCAACTGCGCTACCTGAACACATTTGACGGCTAAAAGCGAGCACGTGGCTTTCAATGTCTGATTTCATTTCAAGGTAAAAAGGGACTGCTTTTTCTCTTCAATGCTGTCATGCACAACTTTTGCAAACAGAGCACACGCAATTATGCCAAACTGGCATAGAAATAGTTGACAAATCCAGATGAGCACTTATAATTTACAATTATTACAATAACGTAACGTTATGTAAATGAAGATTGAAACAATTTTCGTGCTCTTGAAAATATATCGAATTAAACTAGTGCAATTCACTAAAATAAATATTGCAAATAAAACGATGCGTGTGTTCATAAGTTATTCATTTTGCTGCATTGAATAATACATGACCTCTTGCAGATGATTGAAAACAAGTATTGCCAGCAACAGCAGCAGCGCTACCATCATCACGCTGGGGCAAAGAGATAACATAGAATATAAATTGTATAGACGGATTTCATAGAATTCGCTGTAATTTTCGAGAGCAATAGACAAAGCATATATGGCTCATTCAAGACCATTTCATACTCCTTTGTGGGCGATCCATTTTGATTTCCATTTTTTACAACGTTGTCCCGCTTCCTGCAGTATATGATGCTGACTTGATGAATTTGAATGCAAATGTTGTGCACGATTAAATGTGAACATTTGAATAAATTGAACGAAGAGAAATGCTTAAATAGACGACACGAAGTATTGTTGTACAGGGTGTTTCCATGATATTAGATATCTATCAATATTGATTGAAAGTTGGCTCTTATAACCGAAATGTAACAAAGTTACGCGGGCGGCAGGTTCGACGCAGATGTTTCTAACGTTCATTTGGCTTTTCAACAAATTATTATGGGTATTGCGACAAATTCTCTATATCAGTGGGAAAAAAATCCAAACAGATTAGAAACAAAATCAACCAAAACATAACACCGCCAACCTAAACCTAAAAGAAAAAATTTGATTTAATTGATTTATACTTGCACAATGTATTGCAGCAGCATCAACATCATAACGATTGATTGATTGTTCAAAGGACACAGCAAAGTTTCCCACTCTGCATATTTTGCAGCTGCTACTACTTCTTCATTCAGTTGGTT